TGGGTGGAAAATTAATTCAAAATTCCAGCCATATTTGTTCCGTGAAGTTAGTTTCGCCGAAAAATAGAAAGTCGATTGATACCCAAGCAATCGTCCTTCCACAATTGACTAGACTTCTTCCTACCTTCACTATTGAAAAACCCGATTGGAATCAATTCGCCATGTTGGACTTAGCAGACCCCAACTGTTTCCAACAAGCCCAAATCGATATGATTATCGGCAGTGATCTGATCCCTCAGATCATGCTCAGTGGTATACATCGCAACATACGTGGAGGCCTGCTCGAGCAAAATACCATATTTGGATGGATCATAAGTGGACCCATCACTTGTGAAGTGTCAGTGTTCTCGACACAAGTGGAAGAAGTTTCTAACGAACTCCTTAGTACACAACTAAGACAGTTCTGGGAGCAAGAAGAACTGTACCACCCTGTACCGATTTCAGAAGAGGATATAGCATGCGAGGACTACTACCAAAGGACCACATATCGTGAGCCAGACGGCAGATACATGGTGAGACTCCCCTTCAAATCAAGTTTCACAAACTTGCATGCATTAGGCCAATCCCGTAGCTATGCCTACAGCCAGTTGATCAGTATGGAGAAAAATCTCGCCCGAAAAGGCAATCTCAAAGCCATTTACGACGAGATCTTAGAAGAATATCTTACGATGGATCACATGGAACCAACCAGCTCACAAGAAATCGCCTCAGATAGCAAATATTTCTCATTTTATTTGCCACATCATGCTGTAGTCAGACCTGACAAAACAACTACAAAGGTGCGCGTTGTTTTTAACGGCTCTAGGAATACTAGCTCTGGGTATTCCCTCAACGATGTCCTGCACGTTGGTCCCGCTCTTCAACCCGATCTAATGGACCTGATATTACGGTGGCGATTATATCAATTCGTTTATAATGGGGATATAGAGAAGATGTACCGACAAATCGGTGTTCATCAAGATGACCAAGAGTTCCAGCGAATTCTCTTTCGCAGACCGCATAACTCAGAAGTTCAAGACTTCAGGCTGAAAACGGTTACATTCGGAGTAAACTGCGCTCCATTTCTAGCCATTAGAACCCTTCAACAATTGGCTAAGGATTCACGCAACAGGTTCCCACTCGCTGAACAAATGCTTCTGCGAGACACTTATGTAGACGATATTTTATCAGGCAGCCATACAATTCCAGATGCTGTGAATAAATTATCAGAAGTTATAAAGACACTCGCTAGTGCTGGATTCCCACTACGCAAGATAACGGCCAACAACCCAAAGATTCTGGAAAAAATCCCGAAGTCAGATCTCCTTGATTCCGAAAAAGTGGCACCTTTGCGAACCGTTAGTATCCCGCGGTTGGAACTCTGTGGCGCTGTCTTGCTCGCCCAGTTGGTCAAGTCCATACGAGAAAACCTTGACCTGTACTTAGAGAATACGTTCCTTTGGTCGGACTCTCAAATTGTACTTGCGTGGTTAGAAAAACCGACTCACACCTGGAAGACGTATGTCGCTAACCGGACGTCCCAGATTATGAGCAGCGTTGATAACGCCACATGGAGGCATGTCATCAGCCGTGAAAATCCTGCAGACTTGGGTATCCGAGGTTGTAATCCGCGAGAATTGGCGTCCAACACTCTCTGGTGGAATGGCCCAGATTGGCTTCTACGCTCCGAAGAAGCCTGGCCAAAACCTACCGTTTCGACAATTTTGCCTCCCGAGCAAAGAAACATAGTTGTCAATCTCGCTATAGAAGAGCCAGCCGATGTGCTCGAACGGTTTTCATCTTTTCCCCGTGCGTTGCGCGTGCTTGCTTACGTATTTCGGTTCCTCAACCATGGGCTCGCGAAAAGAAGAAATACCCCCTGTATCTCAACAAATTCCCTCTCTCAGGTCGAAATTCAGTTTATCAAAACGAGCCTCCTTTCGTTGGCACAATCACGATATTACCCACAGGAAGTAAGAGCACTATCCGCGAGAAAGCCCTTGTCAAAGAAAAGCTCTCTCTTAACTCTCAACCCTTCTCTCAATAAAGAAGGTCTCTTGAGGGTAAACGGACGATTATCCCAATCCGGGCTCAGTTATAGTGAACGCCACCCCGTAATTATGCCCGAAAAGTCCCGATTTTGTTGCTTGTATCTGACTTTCCTCCACAAACTACTTCTGCATGCAGAACAAAGTCTAATGTTTCGCATGGCCCGCCAAGAGTTTTACATTCCCCGGCTGAAGCCGCAGATTAAGAAATGTATCCACCTCTGCAAGGTCTGTGCGCTTCATAAACAGCGGACTCAGTCTCAAATCGTGGCTGCGCTTCCCCCAGAACGCTGTAGTTTGTCCACCCCTTTCTCGACAACTGGTGTAGACTTCGCTGGTCCATTTCAGATTAAAGCGTCTCAGCTCAGAACGGCAACCTTTCTCAAAGGTTATGTCGCGGTTTTTGTTTACTTCTCGACCAAGGCTGTGCATCTAGAATTGTGCTCTAATCTCACAACAGAAGCATTTCGCGCAGCTTTCGCAAGATTCGTCGGCCGAAGGGGTCTGCCTCGTAAGATTATGTCCGACAACCTTCGTTGGAGCACACCGAGCGCTCAGCAGAGAATTTCTGGAGTTTTCGAAAGAAGTTTCCAAGGACATTCTATCAAATTATTCCCCGCAAGGAGTTGACTGGGTATTCATCCCCCCAGGTGCCCCCCATATGGGCGGCCTTTGGGAGTCAGCTGTCAAAAGCTTCAAAACCCATTTGAAAAAGATAGCTGGCAACCATAAATTCAACTTCGAAGAGTTCTCCACGCTTCTAACCCGTATTGAGGCAGTTCTGAATTCCCGACCTTTATCTCCCCTATCACATGATCCTAATGATATTTTAGCTCTCACCCCAGGTCACTTTATGATAGGCGCTCCACTCACGGCGATTCCCGAACCCGACGCGGAAAACATCTCACTGGTCAACCGCTGGGAAAAGCTGAAGGCTTTACATCATCAGTTTAGCCGTAGATGGGAGGATGAATATCTTAAGGAGCTCCACAAGCGCTATAATTGGCAACATCCGCAGAAGGAGATCGAAGAAGGTCAAATGGTGGTTATCAAGGACGAGCCGCTACCCCCGCACGAATGGCGGTTAGGACGCATCATTAAAATTCATCGCGGACCCGATAGCTATGTCCGGGTCGCAGATGTCCGCACGCAGTCGGGCGTACTTACACGTCCGATTGTGAAGTTGTGTGTTTTGCCGTCCTCGTAACTAATAAATCCCTTTATTATCCCTATACAATCACTTTGCTTTCAACTCATCATATACCAACACTAAAGCCCTTTCTATTTACAGTTAACATGTCCGACGCCGAGGTCAGCCGCTGTCAGATCTGCCATCGCCAACACGCACTGCGGTTTTGCAAAG